AAAGAAACGAACGACGAACTCAACGACTTTCTTTCTACCTTTTCCTGCCTGTCTATTTCATGAGAGGAAAAAGGGGGGGGGGAAAATTTTTGTACGGAAAAACAAAAACAAACAAAAAAAAAAAAACATTTCCTGACTTTTTTTTTCCTGTTGGTTCCTACCCGAACCCACGTGTGTCATTTCACACGTGAGACGTTGTCGTAAAAAAAAAAAAAAAAAAAAAAAAAAACACGTGAATAAAAAAAATAATAATAATAATGTCGGTGGAAAAAGTTTTATTTACTATTAAACTTTTTTCAAACTCAAATTCCAAACAGGATAATACCGGAAATGGGGGATACGGGTCCGGCGCGCTCGATTTTGTTTTTCAATTTTTGACTTTTCACTTTTCAGCTTGAGTCGAATGAAAACATACAATCTCTCTCTCTCTCTCTCTTTCGTTCTCTTTCTCTCTCACTCTCTCGACAATAGATTTTTAGTATAGTTAAATAATCTTAATAAAAAAAAAAAAAATAAAAAAAATTTTCCCCAAACCAATAAATACAATTTCGATACGCCTTACAATCACATGATCCAGGTGTTAAAAAAAAAAAAAAAAAAAATTTTTTTTTATACCTTAATTGTTAAAAACCTCATTTAGTCAGTGGACATGGCACAACACTACCCATTTCCCTATAAAGTGTGACTACGGTTTAAAGGAAACAAAAAGGTTTTTCCCTAACCAAACCATAACATTTTTCCCTTCCTTTCACCTTTTCACATTAATTTTAATAAGGTACGACGCACACGCACGCACACACGCACAATCAAAAAAATGCCTTAATTTATATATCGCGTTTTAAAAATTAATGTCGAACACATTTGACGCGCGTTACAAATTTTTAACATTTTCCTATAAAAAAAAAAAATCCGTTCGATGAATAAAAAAAAAAAAACAAAAAGGTAACGGTAGTAGTTACCTGAACAAAATCCCAAAAGGGAACAAACTCAAATATTATGTACCTTTCGAAGGGAAAAGGGAAGGGAAAAAGGAAGAGAAGGTAAGGGATAACCCAAAATTGAATTCAATTCGGTTTGATACAATAGTTACTCTCTCAGCTTTTCATTTTGTTTATACCATAAATAAATAATAATAATAATAATAAAAAAAACTTGTCGTCTGCTATTCAAGACGTACAGGCGCGCAGGCACACTATTGATTCTTCATGACTCGTGCTCCAGCAGCAGCTGAGATATTTGAACAAGTCTCTTTGATTTCATTTTTTTTTTTTTTTTTTTTTTTTTTTTGACAACAATACGCACACACACACACACACACACACACACGACGCACGATGATGCTTTTTATATTTTGCACCTTGAATTATCTACATTTGTGTGGATCATCCCGCTCCCCCCCCCACCCCGTCCGTCCGTCCGTCCGAATCGAAACGAAAAATTATAACTTCGCACCCGTCTTCCATTTGCAAAAATCATTTTCGTCCAATTTAATTCAAATACGATTTTTTAGATTTGTCTAAATTTTTATTTATGTCTTTAACATGTAAATAATTTGTGTCGTCATCCAGGTGATAGAAGACTCTGGAAATCATATATATATCTCTTACATCATTTCCAAAATGAGGAGAAAAACAAAAAAACAAAAAAAATGCTGGTACGATTACAAACGCAGCTTTTCGAATGGGATAAAATGGGATCCCGTTTATTATTATTATTATTATTATTATTATTAATTGACTCTAAATGTAAAATATAAAATTACGCACACGCGTAAAAGAAAATGAAAAAAAATGAAAAATGAAGAAAACGCAAAATCAAACATTTTGGCTGAGACAGGCAAATAAATGTCATCAAATCATTATTATTATTATTATTATTATTATTATTATTATTATTATTATTATTATATCAGATGATTCTACTTAAGCAATTATCACAAAATAGTAGGAAGGTACGTAGGTAGGTAGGTAGGTAGGTAGGTGTCAGGTTACCGCAAATATTATAATAATAATAATAAAGCCATAGAAAACAAAAAGAAAGAAAGAGAAAAGTTTTGCATTGTAAAGCAAAACAACAATAAAGAAAGAAAAAAAAGTTTTTTAACGTTTTCATAATTTTCAATTTATAATTAATTTAATAAGTAAATAATTTATTACTCATTTGGAGCCTGAAAAAATTATACCTGAAAAATTGCAGTTGCTCTTTTTTAATAATAATGATATTAATTAAACCTAATGAAAAGTAAGCAATGAAGCGCGAAAAAAAAAAAAAAAAAAGATTAACATCGCGGAGCGTATTTCGTATAATCACAAAGTGGCACGAGTCAGCACCCGTAAAACTCGTAGAGGGGATGACGGCATACATATATATAATGTGTAACACCCTCCTCTCTCGGTTCCCTATACTGAGCATATTGAAACAAACAACCACGCAGCTGTTTGTTCCTGCTGTACAAATAAAGAAATAAAAAAATTATATTTTTTAAGCAAGGGGGAATCCTCACTTACTACTACTACTACTACCACCACTACTACTACCTATACCTTCCAATACTACGTTATATATTTATACAATTGACCTAATGACAAAGGTTACTTTTCTTGATAAAAAATAATAATAATAATAATATTCAAGTGCACATGTCTTTTTGCTTTGTGTGTGTGTGTGTGTTGTTATGAAATTCCACGATGCAACTTTTTTTCTCTCTCCCGATAGATAAAAAAAATTTCATATGAAAAAAATAAATAAAAAAAGAAACGTGGCACAAATTCTTTGTGCCACGTTTCTTTTTTTTTCTAGAATAAAATCGAACAAAATCGTTTCTTTTTTTTATCGATTGAATTACGTGAAACTGGTGAAAAATTAACACAAATGGAATTTAATAAGTAATGGCATACTCGAAAAAAAAACGACAAACAATTAATCATAATCTATTACTACCACCGGGGGTGGGGGGGGAGGAAACGAACGCTACCGAGGGGCTCAACGCATCTGGCATAGCAAAAACACCATCACATTATCTTAATAACAGGTTGATTATAATTGATAGGTTTGTTTCGATTGCCGATATTGATTTATCGATTTCGTCAAATTTTCTTCTGCTTTCTATTTAATTTTTTAAACTTAAAACAAAAAAATTTGAATAAAATGTCTCGGGGGGGGGAGGGGAAGGGAGAAACGATTAACTGATCGTAAAGTTTTACTTTAACTTTTAAAAAAGGTAAAAAGTGTAGAAAAAAAAAACAAAAGTGAACAATCGAATTCCAGGTGCACGAACCGCGTGCCTAAAATCTATACATTAAATAAACCTACACAATACCTTCGGGGCTCATCGTATTAACGAAAAAAAAAAAAAATCATTTAATTTCTGACAAATCAATTTAAAAAAAAAAAAAAACACGATTTTACTTTTACCCGAATCGAACACACACACCCCTATCGATACCTAAAATTCCTTTTCTCTCTCTCTCTCTCTTTCTCTCCTTTTTCAACGTATCCTCTATTTAAAAAAAAAAAAATAATAATAATTAAAACAATTCTTTAATAAAAAATTAAAAATCATGTCGAATCATTATTTAAAGGCGAACAGGTTGGAGGATGACACGCCCCCTCTCTCCTCGCTACCCTTAACCATAACAAACATCATCATCATTATCATCTTACGATAACAACTCACGCTCACAATAGTAAAAATAATAATAATAATAATAATAATAATAATAATAAACTTTCAACGGCGCCTAAAACGTTCGCGTCCGCCAAACATATTTCATTGAAAAAAAAATTAAAATGGAAAATCATCGGAAAATTTATTTACGATGTCAAAAAAAAAAAGAAAATCAGGTGAAAATTTTCCTCAAATTGTTTACTTTTTCTTTTGTTTTGTTTTGTCTTTTTTTTTACACTTTTCGAGAATTTTTCGAAAACGATATTAATCTGTCGTAAAATCATTTAAATTAAAACAAAAGGGGGCCATATTTGTTTATTTTTATTATTATTATTTTTTTTTTTTAATAAATATTCGGTGATTCAGCAAAGGGGAGAAACCTTGAAAAAAAAATATAAAATAAAAATATAAACGAGGGATTTCCTTTTTAAATGCGTTGATGATTTCAACATACAAAATACATTTTTTTTTTTTTTTTTTTTTTTTAAAACGATATTATTATTATTATTATTATTATTATTAAAGGATGTTTGAGGTTAAGATGAAACAAAGGTTTAATAATCGACAATGTCGTTCCCCCCCGTCCCCCGTTCCTTCTTTCCTTCTTCCGGCAATAAAAACAAATAAGGTAAAATACATATTAACCTTAAACTCGTACGAGGGGTTTCCTGATTATGTATTTGCCATCGTTAAAAAATGGATAATCGAAAAATCCCGATTAAAGGTGAAAACCCCCCCCCCCGCCCCGATTTTCAAGTTTAACCCCGTTTACTTCAATTTTTAATTTTCATTAAAAATCACCCGATTTTAATATCAAAAAAAGAAATGATGCCTTATTGCAAATTGTGGCGGATAAAATACCTCGAAAAAAAAAAAAAAAAAAAAAAAAAAAGAGCTGCTGCTGCTACTACCCTAAACAAATCTATTGTTTGCCGTGAAATACATATTATTATTATTATTATTCACTAAATGAAGTGATTGCAGCTGTACAGAAATAAAATAAAAAAAAAAATAAGAGAGCCAACCAATCCTAGGATGGTATTATTTCGAATTTGATAATTGCAGCTGTCACACACACACACAAAAAAACTACCCTTGAAATCCATCATGTACAAAAATCTGGATTTTACCGACGTAACCGGGAGTTCTACTATCCCTCCTATCCCTTTTTTTTTTTTTTATTATCAGTGACATTCCTTTTCTTTTCATGATAATTAGGTCAGGACCCACCAAAAAAAAAAAAAAAATGTTTACTAACGAGGCAGATCATCACTATTATTATTATTATTATTATTATTATAATAGTACAACAAAAACAATAATTGGTTACATTTTAGTGACGAGTAATAAAAACAATGAAAACTCCGACACGTAATTTTCCTATTTGAAAAGAATAAGAAAAAAGAGAGAGAGAGAGAAAAGGGTTGGGTACGTTCGAAACGTTCGTAAATGATAATAATAATTTTTTCTTACCTGTATAACAAATGCCGACTAGGGTGGATGCGTGCCTTCTTATTAACGGATTTTCCGTTCCCCAAGAAACTCTGTCGATGATGTGATCGATGTAATCGAAACCAGTCACGGCAGCTACGTTCCATTGAAGTTTCGAAAGTATTAAAAGTTCCCAATCCTGAACAAAAATTACGAAAAAAAAAAAAATTAAAAATTAAAAATTTAAATTAAAAAAAAAAAAACATTGAATGTCAAGTGCAGGTGCCGGGGACTATAAAAATTATTTCGTATATTAAATAATTAATGCAATTTTGAAAAAGAAGTTTTTTTTTTTTTTTCACGTCACGGGAAATGAATATCTCGGAAGTGTATTCAAAGAGTCATCTTGAGTTAAGTAATTCATGGCCGAGAAAAGTGAACCGAACACAAAAAAAAAAAAAAGTTAAACTGGGGGCTAAGCTATAAACCGCACACGACATTTTCGTAACGGGAACGTAAAAAAAAATTTGAATGCCGTCACGGGAACTGAACATCCTCGGAAGTATATACCTAGAGTCATCTTGAGGAAGAAGGTTCCTCCTCGCAACAACAACAACAACAACAACAAGTTGTGAATGATACATTGATAATTATTATTTAGCAGTCGATGTAATTAATAGCATTCAAATATAAACTACCCTAATAATGAATGATTCCAGATTATAGTTTTCGTGCCGCAATAGATACGCACGAATCATCTTTCTCAGCAAGGGTTGATAAATATAATAAAAAAATAGGTAAATTGCAAACACATGGAGGGGGTTTCGATGTAAACGTAAAATGCGACATTTTTTTTTTTTTCGATGACAGTTGTCGCAATACAATAATACAATTGAAATTTTTCCGATAATCTGGAAAAATATTTCCATAAACTGAAGAAAAACGTCAGGAAAACTGGAAATTTTTTTTTTTTTTGTGATTACGAGAGAGTTATAATTAATTTTAATAAGGTATTTTAAGCGAATGACAGACGTTCGTTTCCTTTCCCAAGTCAAAAACCATGAAAGTCCTCAGCAGAAAAACCGTGAAAAATTATTGCGCATCTGCTTTTGAATTTATTTATTTATTTTTTTTTTTTTCACGAAAAAATTTCTTCGCCATTGCCACCACCGCCACCGCAAATTTATTACATCATAAAATACACTTTAAAATTTTTTATTATCTTTATAATCATCATTATTATCATCATCATGCATCATCTGCGAGCATTAATTACCTCTCGTACGAGCAATTATACTCATTTTTTTTTTTTTTTTTGTTATTTTATGCGTGATCCGAACGTGATCATTTTATTTTACCGGATGCCACGACACAATAATATTCATGTGTGACAATTTTTATGGTAACGAAAACCCTAAAAAAAAAAAAAAAAAAAAAAAACAACCAATATTTATTTCCTGGAGCACGAACGTACGAAAATAAACGTAATGAAATAATTGTAGCCATTTTTTTTTTTTTCCAAAAAGGAAAACCGTTATCGACGACGACTCAATTTTATTTTTTATTTTTTTTTTCTTCTCCAGTTGACATTTACGACGACCGGTGCCAAAATTTACTTTTCTACGCATTTTCGTTTCAATTACATACACACTAACCGGAAAATTCTTATTGACGATACCCTTTTATTTCCGGTACCATCATCACGATGTTCCTTCGAAGAACAAAAAAGAAAAAAAAAAAAATTTTATTTTCGTCTTGAATAAATTTCACGGGTTAAATTTATTTAAACGGAATCAAAAGAACAAACGACAAAACTACTTAACCTTTTAACATGTAAACCTTATAATCAAACATAAAAATATATAAAAAACTTGCATTACAGGAAGTTGTACGAACAACGACAACAACAACAACAATAACAACAACTACAAATGTAATAATTTATTAACAAAAAAAAAAAAAAATTAAACTGAATTAAGCGCCATTTCTATTTACACGCCTATTTTCAAACATAAAAGAAACTTTTTTTAAAATGTATATAATTTTAAAATAACAAAAAAAAAAAAAAAACTGCGAAAAAAATTATATAGGAAAATTTATCATCATTATTATTATTTTAAATAATTATACGCTTGAAAATACGAACCGTGGATATTTTTTTATTTTTTTTCGGCGTAAAAAAAAGGAAATGACTTATCGAATAACTGCAAAGTCTCACCCTTATCAAACACAATACAAGGGGGTTGATATTAAAAAAAAAATTTTTTTTTTAAACCGAGACGATAATTAATGATCGCATAAAACTTCCGACCGGGGGGAGGGGGGGGGAGCGGATACGTATATGCGTTTACATTACTGAAACGTAAATTAAAAACATAAATACCGGGAAAAAAAAAAAAAAAAAAAACGAAAAGCTTTTTTTTTTTACAAGGGGTTGATTAATCTTTTTTACACCACACGTAACCATTGAATTCGAGATGAAAAAGAGAGAGAAGAAAGAGAAGAAAGAAAGAAAAACAAATTATAATCTTTTATTTAAACCCATTTACCCATAATTAGTAAATGTGACGACAAAAAAAAAAAAAAAAAGGCGATCGTAAAAAATAATAATAATAATAATAATAATAATAATAATAATAATAATAATAAACGAGAGAGAATAGGGAGGTATTGTCGCACGTTAAAAAAAAATTTTTTCACCTATCGTATACAATCAAGACGACGACCATGATGATTTTACGTATGTGTCGAACATAATGAAAATTTTTTTCCGGTAATGATCGTCAAGTAAAAGAAAAGAAAAGACAAACGACGAAACGAGCAGAAGCAGGCTAATAATTCTTACATTTGATCATTTGCTGCGAAGCAGGTGGAAAACAACAACAACAACAACGACGATGAGAGCTACAAAAAACTTTACACGCTATTAACCTACAACAGACTAATGGCTCACGCTGTCATTTTTCCAAAGTAAAAATTTTCATTTTCTCTCATGTCATAAACACAAGAGAAGCATGAAACACAAGACTGAGTTTTTAGGTTCAGTGAAGATAGATCGACCAAATCTATAAGACAGACTGCTGTCGAAAGGTGATCGCAGGTGAAAGGATATTCGAAAATACAATAAATAATAATCATGCGACGTTTTTACTAAAATTCCGAAGGTGGTAAAGTATAAGACGCACACACACACACACACACACACATACCCACCCACACACACATACACACACACGCACACACACACACACACAATTTCGTAAGGAAAAACTTATCGAACAACAAATTGTGACAAACAAGATTCTTTAAGTTTGTTTCAGTCATGTTTTTCCCTCATTTATATAAAAACGGGGGGGAAAAATTGGGAAAAACAAATTTAAAATAAAATTTTTTCAATTGAGGCTAATTTAATAATTGTCAGAATTTTACTATGAATGACACGGTCACGAGCTGAAAAAGGAAATTGAAAAAAAAAAAAAAAAAAAAAAAAATTCATAAAAATTGTGACCAAGACACATCCTTTACAAAACGAAGGAAAATTAGTCATCTCATACTTGACTTAAGGAATTACCAATCGTACAAATATACTGCTACTACTTCACCACCACCACCACTAAATTACTTGAGGAATCAGGGTTGATGGTTGGTTTAATTTCTTTGAATAAAAAAGAATAATAAAAGAAAAAATAAAAGAAACTCATCAACAAAATTTCTTTCCTTCTTCGGGTTGTTTCCGAAGGAAAAATAATTAATGATAATAATTGAAAGACATCGTCGTTTTTTTTTTTTTTCGAAATGAACACGCATACCCACGCACACGCACACAAAAATCGTCCATTTTTTTTACATACTCGCGACATTCATTCTTCCCTTTCTAACCCGAATTTTTCATTATTAGCAGCCATCGCCGACATTTTTTTTTTCTTTCTCTCTCTCAAATTGTTACATAAAATATATTGCAAAAAAATTTTTATTTTTTTCTTCCTTTGTAACCGAGAATAATAATACAAAATGTATTTTTTTGGGTTACAAAACTTTTGTACAAAATCAAAGTGTTTGTATACAGTTCGGAGGGGTTCTAGAAAAGAGAAAAAAAAATCACCTGGCATTACCTTTACTAATATTGACAAAATACGTTTAAAAAAAAAAAAAAAAAAAAAAAGTTTATTTTAATGCATTTGAAACGCATTTAAAATTTAATCCAGTTTTTAAAAAAAACTTTTTTTGCTTTTTTTTTTTTTTTTTTTTTTCGTAAAAGTTACGGAGTTAAAATCGAAAGATATTGTAAATGTTTTTTTTTTTTTTTTTTTTTTTTGCAATCAAATCCGCGGGTAAATTTTAATGAGAAACCGATTCAATATCGACAGACAAACAAACAGACAGACAGACGGACAAACGGACAAAAACAAACAAACAAAACAAAACAAAACGAAAAAAAAGGGAAAATGTCTTGAATATCCTCCTCAGGCGATGGAATCATAAAAACTGACATACACACACACATTAAATTGATGCCGCATCCTGCCGTCTAACATTTATCAAAATCATCAAAAACTTCTTACTTCCTAATCAAATTATTATTATTATTAACATCATTATTATTATTATTATTATTTCTTTTACCAAAAAGTAAATTCCGGTTGTCGATTCTTTTGTTTTCATTCTTACCTTTTGTACTAAAAAAAAAAAAAAAAAAAAGAAAACCTTATACCACCTATTCTCATCCCGTTGAAAAAATAAATGGTTTGTAAAAAAAAAAAAAAAACATGTCGTAAGACAACAATCGTCATGCAATCAACAATTTTCGGGGGTGTGGGGGTGGGGGGGTGTGAGTGTGTATTTTTCAAAATGAAAAGCGTGCAAGCGAAACTATTTTATTAATTTTTTTTTTTTTTTTTTTTTTTTTGTTCTTTCACTACAACTTTCACGATTCGTTTACCCTTACACGACGTAAAGCGACTGAATCCAAGAATGAATGAATGAATGAATGAATGAACGAACGGACGATCTCCTTTCCCTCCCTCCCCCCCATCACGACTCCAAAACGGAAAATAAGGTTCAAGATTGTAAATTTTCCCTTACCTTCATTTCCTGCGGCGTTATGCTGTGATCCGCGTAAAAGCACAAAGTTTCCATGCTAACGTATTGACACTGTCTAATTTTCGATGCTACCATTATGCACACGGATGCGGCCAATTGCAAATGTTTTTTATTTATGCAAAAATTACATAAAAATCGATCTAAATAATTTACAGCTAAGGGAAATACTTGTTTTTCGACGCCTAGTTCCTCGCATACCTGGAAAATAAAAACACATATATATGTATACATACACTCGATAAAAAAAAAAAAGTATTAATAATAATGATAATACAAGAACAATATCAAACTCGTCTCGATATAATCTAATATCTAGGTTAGTCGAATTTTGTAAAGTCTGGGTCACCTTATTATTTTTTTTTTTTTTTTTTTTTTTTGCATCAGAGTAGTGTTCATTTACAATTTTCTCGAACAAAATCGAAAAAAAAAAAAAATTGTTTTGTTAAATGAGAACAAAGCCGACAAAATATAGATCATCAAGGTGAAAATATATATATATATATATAAGTGCATACACGCGTGCCCGTATGTAACCAACGTATGAATATCCGATTCAAAACGTTCGATTTCCTCCCCCCCCCTTCTGAATCTTCATAAATAAAAACAAAACTAAAAAAAAAAAAAAAAAAAATGCGGATTCAAAAGTGGTTTCAAATTATTAATACGAAAATTATCATCATCATCATCATTTACATCATTTACATCATTCGCCAATTTTTTTTTTTTTTTTTTTTCTCAACAAACTCATTGGCACCTGCAATTTCAAGGAATGAAACCTGAAGCAATAGGCTTCATTCATTTTCAATGATGCACACACACACACGCACGCACGCACGCACGCATATATTTATATATGTGTGTATGGTTATCGTGCGTAAGTGCGTGTGTGCGTGCGTGCGTGCGAGGGGTTTTAAGGCCACACACGGAAAAGAGTTAAAAACGAGATAAAAATGGGTGGAAAAATGAAAGAGAAATAAAAATCTCTCGAATTATGATAAACTTCGACACGCGATTCATCTGATTCGTTTAAACTGTCTCGGTCTTAATTTTCTTCTTTCTTCTTCTTCTTCTTCTTTTTGTTCAGAACAAACGAATGTTAAGTCAAAAAAAAAAAATAATAATAATAATAAATAAATAAATAAATAATTATTTTTTAAACCCATAAGCAAAACAAAAAAAAAAGGAAAAGAAAACGGATTTATTGAACGAGACGAGCCTTATTGAAAAACAAAAAAAAAAAAAAAAAAAAAAAAACAAATTCCTTTTTATTATTATTATTATTTTTCATAAGACATCCTTTCGAACGAGAGAAGGAAGAAAAAAAAAAAAAAAAAAAAAAACAGTCCGACATTTTTATTTTCTAAGAATTTATAACGGTTAAAAAAAAATAAAAAATAAAAATAAAAAAAATAAACGATTGCTTATTTAGCAAATTTTACTTATTATTTTTATTTTTTTTTTTTTGTCAAGATAAGAGAACAAAATTTTCTTTTTTAAAACTGGAAATGAATTTAATTATTATTATTATTATTTCTTCAACTAACAAACATTGACAACAAACAAACAAACAAAAAAAAATTTTTTTGCTTTTTTTTTCTTTTTCCCAACACAAACTTTTTGTAAAGAAATCTTTAAAAAAAAAAAAAAAAAATCGTTTAAACGCATTTTATTTCAAACGTGGCTTTAAAAAATTTTTGCTGAAATTTTAAAAAATCGTGGAACCAACAAAAAATAATAATAAAAATTTAAATTAAATTTATTAAATTAATTTAAAAATTAATAAATTGCCTACGAGGGATATACTGCACAGTATATAGATAATTCCACGAAGAAAACATTTTCGCTATCAAATTACACGACGTTAAATAAATTTTTTTCATTAAAAAAAAAAAAAAAGCATTACGGGGACATATCCATTAAATTTCATTTCTAAAACCACGTGAAAAAAAAAAAAGAAACAAATCATCAACCCCTCATTTCTGTCGTCTATCACACTTCATCCTACCACTTGATAATTCATTTTTTTTGGTCCTCCTCTCTCTCTCTCTCTCTCTCTCTCTCTCTCTCTCTCTCTCTCTCTCTCTAGTACAACAACAACAACAACAACAACCTGCATTTTACAAAATATGTGATAAGCCAAACAGCAAGCAGTGATAGTAATGATAGCAACAGCAGCAGAAGACAAGTAAATACAATTCCAAAACGAATTGAATTTCCAGAGAAGGAGAAGAGACTACACGCAAAGAAAACTCGAATGTTTTGAATAATTTTCAGGCATTTAGGCACGTTAGGTAATCATCGTCGTACCTTCTTATCTCCTCATCGTATTATTTATTAAACGTTATCACTTATTATTATAATTAATTAATTTTATTCAACCATCCATCCATCCATCCATCCATTCGATCTCACTCTAATCATCTGTTATTGTTATATTGTTATTTTCATTTTCGTTTTTCTTTTCTTTTTATAAATATTGTCAACACTTCCTCTCACCCAAAGAAATCCTTTCAAGATAAAAAATACATACAAACGAATATATGGATCGTGCAAAAAGAGAAAAAAAGATCGGAAACGGATATGCAAAACGAATAAATTTGAATTGAATTTTTTTTTAAAACCCAAAATTAAAGGGCGTGAAAACCGTTTTTTTTTTTTTCGTTTTTTTATCTCTTTATGATGTTTTCTCACACGTTAGAACACGATTAACATAATTTTTAATTAATTATAAAACAATAACAAAACCTACATTCTTTCCACATTTTTTTCTTTTGGAATTTTACCGGACGCCATATTAAATATTTTTGGTGCTGACAAATGCCAGTTGATGAATTGATTAAATAAAAAATTCATTGTTCGAAATGAAATTATTATCAAAAATATCCAGAACGTTTGTAATCAGCAAAAAACAGTATCTGGAACATTCGAGATCTTAGAAAACGATTTTATAAATCGCGAAAAATAAAAATTTTTGAAAAAAAAAAAAAAAAAAAACCGTTGGTCACATGCCCATATATGGTAACGATTTCGAACATTTGAATTCCGCGACGAAGAATAAAATTAACGATCGATCGATGGATGTAACGGACAAAAAAATTATTTTTGACGAATTTGAAATATTCGAAACGAGTTTAAACTTGTAAAATATTTTAAAAATCTTTTCGAAACAAAAATGTTTCGATTTCATTTGTTCAAATTTATCCAAATATTAATAATAAATTGTCAAAACCGTTGAAAAAAAAAAATTCGATTATTGCGCGACAAAAATTTTTAACGGTTGAAATTATTATTTGTCGACGTTCGTTTTTCGAAAAAAATAATAATAATAATAATAATTTAACGATGACATTTTTTATAAATATTAAATTTGTAACTTTCACTATCGCAAAATTAATTTAATTATATATAAAATGATCGTTAAAATATAATTTCGAATTAAAAATTTTCGAACGTTATTCATTAAGTGTAAAAATTTTCCCGGCATTTTAACATTACAAGCAGAAAGCTTTGAAGCTTTTTTTTATGTGACTTACCTCCAGCATCCACGTTGATACAATTTTTCTCATAAATGGTTTTATATCCGTTTGAACATTTGAAAAATAATCACATGATGGTATATATTGTTTTTCCAAGTTCAATAAATTATTTATAACGCGAAAATCGCTGAATATAACCGGATCCTTTTCGGTTTTTCTTAAATCCGGTTGAAGTCTTTCGCAACAGAACAAATCGGTAGCCATTTTTTTGCAAATAAAAAAAAAACTTATTATACTTAATTTAACTTAATTTAATTTAATTTAATTAAAAAAAAAAAAAAGAAAACACGATTTTCGATTGTTTAAAAAAAAAAAAAAAAATTTTCAATCTCGAAACCGATACATTTTTTTCTATATATATCGAAAGATTAAAAAAAAAAAAAAACTTGAATGAAAAAAAAAAAAAATGACAAACAATCAACTAGTCACTCGGCCTGCGTTCAACGCAATAATGTACCGGTAAGTTGTTACAGCACGCTCAAATGTTTTCGAGACAGTGCTGCCACTTATTGAAACAGAAAAAACATTCAAAACTTTTTTCAAACATGAAAATTGTGTTTTGTATGTTTAACTTACGAGTTCGATCATCACCTTATATTTTTTTTCAATGCAATTATTTTAATTACGTTAAATAGATATGCACATGATCCATTAATTTCCAATCAGGTTAAATAATTAAAAAAAATTTTTTTTTTCTTTTTTCTTAATTTTATTAAATTTCTTCTTCTAAAATATATTTAATGTAAAAATTTACAAAAATTAATTACGTAATATTACTTAATTATTACCTCCACCCCCACCCCCACCCCCGAAAAAAATAAATAAATAAATTTGTTGAGATACCAAAATGATTTATTATTCATATATACCTACCTCCATTTTTGAAATTTTTTATTAAATATCTTAAAATTTAATTTTCTTACTTATGGATGTTATTAATTATTAATTAATAATAATAATAATAATCAATAGATTAATAAACATTCGTTTAAAAATCATTTAATAAAAAAAAAAAATTACATGTGTATATCCCAACATTATTGAGTTTTATTTATAATAAATGAATAATTAATAAAATTTAAAACTTTAAAAATAATAATAATAATAATATAAAATCAATAAACGTTTAAAAAAGTAATAATAATAATGATGATAATAAATCACAAATTAAAATAATATGGCAGTAAAAACATTTTTTTTTTTTAAAAAAAATTATATATAATACAATACAATACAAAAACAATTTCAACACAAATTTTTTTTAAAAATAATAATAATAATAATAATAATAAATTGTAATTAATAATAATAATAATAATAATAAATTGTAATTAATAATAATAATAATAATAATAAAATTTAATAATTTAACAAAATAAAAGGCAAGAAAAAATAAAATTTAAAGTATAAAAATAATATATATATATGTACAAAATTGAAAATTTTCTAAACATACAATTAATAAAGTAAAAAAATTTGTTTATTTTATTATAATATTATTAATAAATTCAATTTATTATTATTATTATTTATTTATTTATAGTTAACAATAATAATAATAATAATAATTGATTGTAATAATAATAATAATAAAAACAAAATCAAAATATATATATTTTTTCCTCTTTTTCTCTCTTTCTTTCTTTCTTTTAGTTGTTAACTTTATTTATTTATTTATTTATTATAAACAATATCAACATAAAAATAATTTAAATAAAACAAATTGTATATAGACATGATAATGATGATGATGATAATGATGATACATTTATTCAATTTATATAAATAACACAAAATGGACATCTCAACATTTAAACCGTTTTTAATTTTTTGTCTTGTTGTTGTAATTTTTATTATATGCTTTCATAATACACAAAAAAGCAAAAAAAAAAAAAAAAATTTACTATTTAAGCAAAAACAATTATTATTATTATTATTATTATTATTATTATTAATTAAATATATAAAAAATTTTTTAAACAATCAATACATGAAATTTATTCAAAACTTTTTTTCTCTCTTTCTAATAAAGAAGAAATCATGAGCCTAATTATTCAATAAAAACCTTTTTCTTCCAAATAATAATAATAATAATAATAATAATAATATCATTCATTACATTAAGAAATAATATAATATGAAATATTTAACCTGAATATTTTAAATTTTAAAAAACAAAATTTAGATAATATAAATTATATATTTACATATCAACGTTTCCATTAAAATCAATCAATCAATCAATCAATCAATATCCTTTTTACATTTTTAACAAAACAGTCTTAACATATAACAAACAACGTAGAAAAAAACACGGGCTTTATTATTATTATTATTATTATTATTTAGAGCAAACAAAATGGGATATGTTACAATAATAATTTTTATTTAAGACAAAAAAATTTGAGTTTCATCATGGCACTCCTTAAACAATAATAATAATAAATTTTTTGTTCAGCTTATATAAAATCTTCCAAACTAACAAATACCCCCTCCATCTTCCCCTCCCCCCAAAAAAAACAAAGAGAAAAAAAATATAAATAAAATAATAAAAAAAAACGACGGATTTTTACAAATATTTGCGTTTATTTTTCACCCGTTATTATTATCATCAACACACGTAACTTTTTAATTATTATTATTATTATTATTATCGAATGAGCCCGATTCACTATTATTATTATTATTATTATTATTTTGCCAAAAGAAAAAAAAAAAAAGAAAAAAATTTGACATTTATCATAAATATTTTTTTTTTTTTTTTTGTTTTTAATAAATATAAATATAAAATTTAAAACTTTTTTCATTATTATTATTATTGCATCTACTAAAAAAAAAATAATATTAAAATTATTATTATTATTATTATTATTATTAACATTATCAAATAAAATGTTTTCTTTCTCTTATTTATTTTAAAATGTAAAATTTAAATTTTTTTTTTTATTATTTATATATACAAATTTGCAACGAATGAAAGCCACTAATAATAATAATAATAATAATAATAATAATAATAATAATAATAATAATAATAATAATAAATATTTAAATTGTGCAATCATCATATTAACCACTAATAATTACAAATCATTTTATTATTATTATTATCATAGCATAATTTACATTTTTTTTTTTTTTTTTAAATAAAATTGGAACTGAATTAATAATAACGGTAACGTATATATACTAATAAAAAAAATTTTATTTGAGTATTTATTTATTTATTTATTTATTTAAATCGAATTTTGACTCGATTGATGATTATTTAATAAGTGTTATGTATATATATCCTACACCGCTAACATTTTTTTTATTATTTTTTTTTTTATTTAAACTAAAATCGAAATAGCGTCATGGAAAAACTACTACTACTAGTAGTAATAGTAGTAGTAATAATTATTATTATTATAAAATAAATTAAATAACTTTAATAAAAATTTATGTAACGCTGAAATTTCTCTTTAAAAAAAATTAGGATTTAATTGATCCCTTTTTCCTTTCTCTCTCTTTTATTAAAATTTTTTTTTTTTTACATGAAATAATTATTATTATTATTATTATTGTTTTTTTTTTACTACTAAAAAATTGACAAAATTTTATGTTAACATCAAAACGATTTTTAATTAAGCTCATTATATAAAAAAAATTTTTTTTAACTAATTTAAATTCCTTATTTTGGCAATAAATGTACATTTTAATATATATATGACGTAAGCGATTAAACGGAAGTAAATGAGCAAATTCGTAATTTATTATTATTATTATTATTATTATTAATTACCGTTAAAACTGCTGAAACGCGTCAATCGACGAATCTTTTCCCTTTTTCAAATGGTCTCCGAAACAACTCTCCGTCATTCCGCGGGCAATTTATTTCTTTCTTCTTCCACTTCCTGTCGCGTTCTATTGAACGCTTCCGTTTTGAGAAAATCAACGGTTTTATATACGGTCGCGGTGGGTTCCGCAGTTTGAGCAGCGTTCGTCGTATTCGTGTTGTTCACATCCGAATCCAAATCCAAATCGATGTACTGGATTTCTGTGAATTTTTTACCGGCAGGAATATAACGGTTATTGGAACTTTCGAAATAATAAATCTGAAATCGAAAAATTATTCAAAATTTAGAAAAAAAATTATGAAATTTAAAATTTAAAAATCGATTAAGTTATTTTGCAGGTACCGGTTCGTTATCTGGAGATTTTCTATGGTCATCTTCCGAACCGGAATATTCAGATCTGGTCCTATCGTTTCTTAGATTATTAGGAAGAGTTGATGATGATCCCTGTTGCGGTACGGGACTCGGTCCAGCTCTCACCCTTCGCAAGCTTAAATTACCCTCCGGTGGTTTGCTCAATTTTATAGCTCCTGTTTATACAATTAAAAGTGGGAATTAAAATTTGTTTTTAAATAAAAGTAAAATTTGTAAAAAAATTTTAAATAAACTCACCGTCGGATGGAAGCTTTTTAGGTTTTAATGTTCGGTCGATACTTGGTGGACCGTTGACGCCGAGTTCGACCGACGTGCCTGACGTATAAGGCCCTCCAGGAGATGTTTCTTTGGGGATAAGGCCGGTAAAAGAACCACCTGGAGAAGGTTCATTAGAAACTCCAGATTCTGAAGTTTTTCTTGTCGGTTTCAATTCTCGATTAACGGCCGGAGGAGTTGAAATATCTTTAATGAATTTCAAAAACGTAAATAAACTTCAAGGTATCGAACAATGTTAAAGAAATAAATGTTATACCTGTTTTTAAAGGGCTGGGTAAATTAGAATAAACGACACCGGAACCTGATCCTTCGGATCTCGGTGATGTTGGCTCGCCGGGAATCGTTTCCGTTTGCGAATTATTAGATTGCACTTCGGCAAAATCATAAATGAAAACGTTTCCTTTTTCAGAGGGTGCCGCGTTTAAATAGTTATGCCTATTAGAGGATCTTCCTCCGGGAGTTGTTTCTTCGTTATGAACCTGATGAGACCTTGGAATATCGTACATTTCATCCACGATGGGATTTTCATCTTGCGACGGTACTGAAGTTTTGATCGTGTCCGAAGCCTTCGTATCAGACTTATCTAAATTTAAATAAGAGTGAAGATTTTCTTGAACGACTAAATGAGACGGTTTCGGAGGTCTAGGAGGAGCAACTGGACGTCTTAAACTGGATGTGTCAGGTTGAGCTCTTTGTTTTATAGCACGATTTAAACTGTTCGTTACGATCGGAAGTTTCGAGTCGACAATGGTGAGTTTTCCAAAACGCTGAACGACACTCCAAGATCCTATTTCGCCCGGGGAAAAATAAGCTTCTTCCGATATTTCAGAATTGTTTGGAAATGTATCCCAATTAGGTACGGGTACGCCCGACGACCAATTCGCTGGACTCCATTCACTTTTATCCAGAACGATTTTTCTCGGACTATCGTACACGTCGGGCGACATAGTTTCGGATAATTTTAAATCGGGAGGACGATTTTCTAAATTTCTATGCTTAGCCATTTTTTTCGCAGACTCGATATTCGTAATTTTCCCATTGTTTACCGAATCTTCTTGTTTAGCCGGAAAATTAGTTAAAATATTTTTCCTCGTATAAAGAATTTAAACGATCCACTGATGTTTCGCCATGGACATAACTAATGTTACCGATTTATTATTATCACATTTGAAATATCATCATCGCAAACAGTTTGTTTAATTGTGTTCAATTTATTTTGTCTTACTGATTGAGCTTGATACAAATCTTTTAATGCAACTTTATTACTACCATTGCTTGATCCTGTAAGTATTTGTTTAGATATTATGTTATTGAAGTCCAACATTCCTGAAATTAAATTTTTTTTTTTTACTTTTATTTTAAAAGCAAAAAAAATTATTGAATATCCAAATGAAACGAATTTAAACAATTTTACTAACCTACTGGAGTGTTTAATGGTTTACCACTAATACATTCACTTATAGGAATGTAAGGACCAGAAACTGTGCTAGTAGGTGAAAGAGATGGTGATTCAGGTTCTCCCGTGTCATTAGGAGTTAATAACGATTCATTACTTTCTTCGTTAAATTCGACTGCTAAAAAATTATTAAGAGAAAAATTATTTTTAAAAACATCAAGTTCGAAATAAGTAAATAAATAAATAAGTGATAAATAAATAAATAAAAAAATTTACAAGTATCATCAGTAGCAGATTTTAAACCACAAACTTGGCAAACACAATCAACCCATTTGTTCATATCAGTTTCAGAATCTGCTGCCAAATAATATATTCTTTTCGGAGTTTTAACATCAAACATATGAGGATAATTTTGTTTACTGTTTTCAAATTTTAAACCGACATCAACCTAAAAAATAAGAAAAATCATAAATAATAATTTTTTATATAACTGCTAATTTTTTTTTTTCAAATTTTAAATATCAAAAAATTATTAAATAAATAAGTCACAACTGTAAATTCGAAATATAAAAAAAATTTACAAGTTATAAAATTTAAATTAGACAAATACCTGTTCACATTGATCCAGATCTATTGTACCTTTCAGTTTTCTACAATTTCTATCTGTGTAATATTGTAAAAAAAATTGTCCAGGAAGTTCCCCTGAATGCCTAAGTACAAACCATCTTCTCCTCCATCTCTGAAAAATACAAATTTTACAATAAATAATAATAATAATAAATAAATGAGACTTTGAAATAATAAACTTGTAATTATAAAAGCAAATGTAATTATTATTAACAAATTTTTAAGTGTCGTCGGTAAAAAATAAGTCAAAAGTTTAAATATGTGAGGGGTAGTTTCAAAATAACATGAATAAATAAAAAAAATTGAAAAATCAAAATAAATCTGGAAAAATGCCTAATTTTCACCTCCCTGGCCTGTCATTAGGATTCCAAGACGTGCCTATGACTAATACGATTCAAAACAAAAAAAAATTCATTTTATTATTATAGTAAATAATTACTTACCGCCTTCCAAATTCGCTTGGAAGGTGGAGATTTTGTTAGCCATCCTTCGTATACAATTTCATTATTACTACCAGACATTTTATTTACAAAATAACGAAGGATAAGTAAATTTTTTTAAATTACTTATTTTTTGTGCCCTCTCACAACCGCCATGTTTAACATTTGATTAATTTTTGAAAACTTAACAGTATTATTTTAACTTCGTTACTTTGGCAACACTGATATCTGATTGTAAATCGTTAAACCATAGAAGTAAACTTCTTTAAAATACATACCTAAAGTTTGAAATTTTTTAAATCAAAAATTTCTGATGATTAAAAAAACCTTTATTCATTTTAAAATTTTAACTGCAATTGAAAACTGAATTGAAAAAATACTTATTTGGTTTACTTATTTATTGTCAAAATCTGTTTAATTTTAATTATTTTATAAATTACTTACTAATTTTTTTTTTAAGCATTGTCAGTCGTTATGTATCCCGTAAGCTCACAAAAAAAAAATTGGACTTTTTCTGATGAATTAGAAATAGAAAAGTTGAGAAAAGGGGCCAATGAAAGATTTATTGAGAAATTTGGAAGAGGGAAAACGGTAATTAATTCCATTGCTTTATTTTTCTTCGAACTCTAAAGTATAACAAAAAAAAAATTGAAAATACTTTAACATATATTTTTATTTTGGTTCAGGAAGATGAAAAAAAATCATTCTTTTTAACTCCTGAGGAAGAATTAATTTTACTTAAGGGCTCTGAATTGTTATTACGAGAATTTTGTAGAAAGTTTTCACCACCAATGCCTAAAAGTGTTATCGGAACTTCTTACCATTATTTTAAAAGATTTTACATAAATAATTCAGTCATGGATTATCATCCGAAAGAAATATTGTGAGTGTGGATGCTTCTTCTTATCGATTTAATAACTAAAAATTCTTCTTCTTAAATTAATAACTAAAGTATTAATTTTGGATACTAAACATATAAAAAATCTACTTATTTTAGAGTCACATGTGTTTATTTATCATGTAAAGTTGAAGAATTTAATATTTCCATAGCTCAATTTGTTTCAAATATAAAAGGTGATAGAGAAAAAGCTGCAGAAATAATATTAAATAATGAATTGCTTTTAATGCAACAATTAAATTATTACTTA